CCCGAGGGAGCCCAGGGAAGCCAGGCCAGCATGAGAGCCAGGCTTAGGAAGTTCTTCAGGAGGCAGCCCAGCTTTACACTCACACAAGAGGGAACCTGGGGGGGAGAAACAACAGAAAAGCAAGTCAAAGCCAGAGCATTCTGACTAATGTGCTGCAGCAGTGTGTGTCTGTCAGCTTTCTGAAAACGCTGCCCAATTCTCACTTTACTTTCCAGCTTTTACTCACTGTCAGGGTTGTTTCTGGGTGTCTTCCCACCAGTGGCAGCGACAGGAACTGCTGTCTGTCCTGTGACCTGGGTATGCCGTGGGTTGTCGGGCCCTTTTCATCCCCAAAAGGAAGAAAGGTAGTGAGCAGCAGGGTGTAGATTGTAAAAATGAAACTCAACACGTGCAGATCAGTCTCTGCAGGGGCTGGGAGGAACAGGAGGGTGGGTTAAGCTACAGGAGTTGCTCCCTGTGTGTGTCCTGCCTCACCCTTGCCTGGCAAAGGTGGGAAGGTTAATGGTGCTGAGTTAACTGTTGGACCTGGTGATGGGAGAGATCTTTCCCAACCTACATGATTCATTGAGAGAGGAGCTGCAGTTGTGAGGAGCTTGACTTCAGGTCTCCAACATTGGTGGTGAGTGATTTAGACAGCACAGACCCTGTCTGGACACTCTGCAGTGGAGGAGAAGAGCACATTTGCCCTTCAGCTGCTGCAGTGGATACTGAGAAGGTGTCCGAGGCTGCTGAGGATGGAGAGGGTACTTTCATTTTTACTGCCTCAGTGCAGGGCAGGAAACCTTTGTCAAAAGGAGGGGACAGCAGTTGGGAGGAGTGTCATATACTGGGCATGAGGACTGAGAGTCAGAGGGCCCTGTGGTCACCAGCACTGCCACCTGCAGATGTGCTTTGTGGGTTAAGCAGCAGAATTGTGGGGAGAAAAGCTTTTAGCTCTTTTTATGTCTTTTTTTTTTGGGTATGTAGTGGGTTGCAGTGCTGTCCTGTGGTGGTACTGAATCTGTCTGAAGGCTGTAGTTAAGTATTATTTGCAGCTTCACAGCTCGTCTCTGTGGTTCAATCCATTGTTTTCTAGTTCTTGTATTAAGTGTAGTGCAAATAGTGACTGTGGGGGAATTGCTGATGTGCTTGAATACATTCTTATTACTGGTATTTCCTTCACTGGCAAAGATGAAAGTGAATCCCTCTTCCACATATTACCTTTAACATACTTTTGTGAGGTTGCTCAAGCTCAGGTTAACTATTTTAGTAAATGTCTTTCAGCCAAACCTAAAAAAAACCCACCATTAATTGTGCTGGCTGATTCTGTCAGAGAAATATGAACCTGACATCTCCTTTGCTGGGTTACAGACTGCTGGCAGGCACGGGGGAAAAAAAATTCCCCATGTCCTCGCAGTTCCCTGCCCAAGGCATGAATCAGCAGGACAAGCACACGTGGGTGGTGGTGCAGGAGTGATTATGTCTGGCTGCTGTGATCTGAACGGGCTCCTTCTCCTCTGTGGGGGACTGAGAGAGCAGAAAGGGAGCTTCAGAGTGTATTTGCACGCTTCTTTTTATTTTTATTTTTTTTTTCCCATTTCTAAAATCCCTCCTCCAGGCATTGCCCATAATGCCAAACCTCCGTAGCAATTTCCGAAGTACTTCCTGACGCCGTGGAAATCTCCCTTGCGTGAGGAAGCCGGGGTAAGGATAGAGGAGAGGGGAACTGCTCCTTTCTTCAACTGAGTGCAAAAGAAAAAGACCTGTTTGGATTTGAACCTGGACAAAATGATTGATTTTTTTCTTTTCCCCCACCACCACCTCTGGTGGTAACTGAAGGATTGGAATTCTGCTTCCCGGAGCTGTGTGATTTATTTAAATCATGAATTCGAAGCTGCCCTGCACATTGCCTTTGTGTAAACTAGGTGTGAATTTAGCACTTTATTTTAAACAATGATCTTTGAAGCAGCCGCTCAGAAATTTCACTACTTTGTGTTAGTAAATAAATCACGGTTGAAGTTTTTCCTCAAAGCTGAGGTTTTCCTAAACCACGGATTTAATGAGCTGGAAGGAGCCAGTCCCTTCAGGTGGGAAGCTGATGCCTGGGCTCTTTGTGCCACTCCAGTTTGCTCCACCAGCCCCACGGTTTGTTCTCCCCCTGTGGAGCTCCCGGGCTGTACTTCCAGCGGGGTCAAGGATCTCTCTGAACACTTTGAACACTCAGCAGCTGATGGGAGCTGCAGCTCTGGGGGTTCTGCTCAGATGCTGTTACACCAGTTTCTTGAAGTACCTGATTTTCTTCTGGAATAGATTTGGATTTTCCATATACTTGCTTCCAGCTTGTTGTTTCACAGTTTCTTCTCCTGGCCACACAAGATGCTAAGGAATAACTCATTTTGGATCAAGAATCTCTAATACTGAGCATGTGATGAGCTGCTTCTGTCACTGAAAATGAAGAATTTTTACTAGAGTGAGAATTTTATTTTTAAAATGAGTCAACAGAAGTGCAGTTAATTTTTATTTATCTATTTGATTTGTAACCTGAATACCACATTACAGCATCGTTAATTTGGTGACTGGGCTCTCTAAGGGATCGTGGGTTTGGAGAGCCAAGTCTGTTCTTGTCCAGTTTCAGATGCAGGTGAGTTGTTTATCCTTACATCCTGCTCTTGCTATTATCAGACAGCTCAAAAAAATCTGCACAGGTGGAGGAAATTATTGTTTTAGAAAAGTACAAAGGCTACTCATGATGTTTCTTTCTTCACACAGTTTGTATCATTTTGGCATTCAAGCTATATGATATGCTTATTTGCCTACTGTGATTTTTTTAGCTGTCTTATTGCATTTGTTCAAAAGAAGGAGTTCTTTAACTGTCTGTTCCCACTTGGATAGCTAAGGACCCTCTATCGTGCTCTTTTCTGAGGTTTGATTAGCAGAAGGGACATAGATTATGGTCCCCTGTGCTGCCATCACTCCAAACCCAACTTCAATAGGACTTTCCAATACGTATCTGTATATATGAATATATATGTTTAGGAATATACATACATATCTGTATGTATGAATATGCATTTTTTACATTTTTGATTGAATAAATCAATTTGACTTGGTGGATATATTGTGTATATATGTATAAGGTGAATACCTTATATTTGGTTTATACATCTCAAATTGGTGTCAGGTATTTGGTACAAACAGTGTGTTGTAAGGGAAGCATTTGGAATTAAAATCCCTGTGGGTAGGCTGCTCAGGCCTGCTGTTGGATTGCAGGATACTTAATTTTTTTCCTCCATGTTGCAGTGCAGGTACTGGAAACCACAGAATGTCCCATAGATAAGTTGCAGCCTCTGAAAGAGCCATCAGTAAGTGGATTTGGAAGAGTTGGGCGGTGGGAATCGCTGCCTGACTCCCAACTGCATCCCTGCAGACTCGTTGGGGTGTGGCAGGTCTATTTATCACCCCATCATCAGCAAAGGGCTCCAGGGCAGGTCTGTAGAGGTGGGTGTTGCACAGCTCGGGGAGCTCTTCCCCAGCAGCCTTCAAGTCAGTGGAGCAACCAGCACATGTCCAGTTTTTACTGCACTGCCAGGGTGTTGTGCTGCTTGTGCCTCTGAAGGTGTTTGTGCAGAAATGATGTGCTTTTGTGGGCATTTATGGGGATAATTAATTTTAATTTCCCTGGATCTTAACGACATAAACCAGTGTGCTCTTGTGCTGCCCCAGTCCAGGCTGCTGGCCTGATTTGTGTCCATCTGTTGGGATTTGTCAGCATTCACCCACCCTGAGAAATGACAGGGAATGACAGTCCACGAGCTTTTAGTTCTGCTGCTCAGGCCCTGCTGGCAGGATGCAGGTGTCCTGTGAGTCGTTGGGTAGCACAATAATTGAGAGGGGATTGCACTGTCTTGTCCTGGCTCTTGTGAATAATGACACTGATAACATGTGGCTGTGACTGAGTCATGCCCTGGCACCGTGATGGGAAGTTGGTAGGCACCAGGAGGCCATTCATTTCCCAAACTGTTGTGAGAGGAGAAGGAGGAGGAAATATGTTGCCTCCTGTTCCAAAGAGGTAGCTTGTCATTTGAGTGAACAGAGGAATTAGGTGCTTGTTTGTTACTCAGCTGTTATTGAGAGGTAATTTCTGTAAATCTTTCTTTGTGCCATTTACTCTGTATCAGAGAGGTGCCTGTTTCCTGGTGATCAGAGAAAAATCTCCAAAATATTATGAGGAGGGAGGAAATGCCAGCGCAGATTTTTTTGAATAGGGAATGTGTCATGTAGATGTTTTATTGTGCTGGGGTTTTAGCTTTAGCTGCTGTTTGTCCGTGTTCTCGCTCATGTTTTTGTTCAGGATTCAAAAAGGATTGTGGTGATACTATATATGCTTTTTTAGAAAAGGAGAAGGTGTGGCACCAAGTGGGGAAGCAATGCAAGGCCCCATTCAGAAGTGGAGTGCACCCTGTGGATCTTAGTCCTGTGCTCTTTAATGTGGGCTGTGTAATATGGGTAGAGAGATTCTTAATGCAGCTTGATGTGGACAGTGTGCTGAATTGTGACTTACTAACATAAGCAGTTCTTTTGTTCCCAAGATCTTGTCTGATAAATGGCAAGAAGGAAAACATCTAAGGCTTTTAAAGCTGTTTGGTACCAGAGCATGAAGCTCTTTGGGCTAGAGCTACCCTTAAAAGATGTTGTGCTTGCGCCCTTACCGCGCCCTTTGTGTGAGCTGGGAACCAGATCTGGGAATTGTTCATTTTGTCTGGGTTAGTTTTATCACTGGAAATGTTTGTTTCTCCATTCCACAAATGCTGCTGCTTGCACAAATGAATGGGTGACCCAGAAGTGGGAATGAGGAAGGGATTTGCTTCCTTTGGTGGAGGTGTCAGTGCCTGCCCGTGCAGTGCTTGCTGTGTTCCTCAAAGTTGAATTCACACCTCCTTCCACTTGTCCAACAGAAGAAATGCTACATTCCTGCATTCCTGTGCTCTTTTTCTATGTTAACACAAATATTTCTCTTCCAGGGCTTTCACTAGCTATTGAGAACCATGTCTGACAACGGAGAACTGGAAGACAAACCACCAGCTCCTCCTGTCCGGATGAGCAGTGTCATCTTCAGTTCAGGGGGCAAAGATCCTTTGGCCGCCAACCACAGCTTGAAACCCCTGCCCTCTGTCCCAGAAGAGAGAAAACCTAGGTCGAAAATCATCTCCATATTCTATAGCAATGAAAAAGGTAAGATGCCTCTCTTTCCCAAGGTATCCCTTTGCTCTCCTTGGAAGTTTTGGTAGTCCTTTAGACATCTGAGTCCAGCCTGTCCAAGCATAGGGGACTGGAAAACCACCACCTATTGCTTCTCCTGTTTGCTGCCCAGTTTGAAGAAATGCATTTCCAAACAACCCTGATCTATGTCTGGCATTCCTGGGGATCATGTCACTTAAATGCAGATTTCTGGTTTAAACTGAGCATCCAGCTGGTTTGGAAGTTATTTCATGTTGATGATCATTCATGTGGCACCTTGAGGAGGAAAAAAGATAGTAAAGAAATAGTGGTGAAAGTACAGTGTGCATGTGGGAGAGAAATTACATCCTTTTACCTGTGGAAATTCACTGTTAGGATTGATTACTCGTGGGGGAAAACCTGAGTTGCTGTAATCAGGATTATTTCTGGGAAAAATTTTGCTATAATGAAACTAGACTGTGGTTGTGTTTCTGTCCTCTTTTCTGTATATACAGCACTGGAGTCTCATCCTGTCTCTCCAGGATGTCTGTACCCATGTACAACAGAAAGGTGCATAGATAGAAATATCTTCTAGCATCTGGGTGGTAAAACTGCACAGGCAGTTAAACCTGACCTGAAGCAGCTCAGGGACTTAAGCCTGACCTGTATCTGCTAAGCATTTTATTAATCTACTAGTTAACATTTTTCTGGTCACTATTAATATGACTCTGCTGCTCTTAGTTCTTTCTAGTTGTGCTTTTGTCTCCCTGTGCCTTGCTGCTGGTGTGCTGTAGAGGTGCAGGGCTGATTTGGTCATGCCAACACAGGTTTGGTTGTTTCAAGAGGTTGTTTATTCTCATGGCTGAGTGTTCTCCCCAGGACTGGTTTTCACTCTCGCTCAGCTGTGTGAGCAGTCCCTTTGCAGCCATGCCTCACCCTGGAGATAAAACCTGGAGGGCAGGCTTCCCTCTCGTTCCAAAGTCTGGCTTTCCACTCTCAACAGTAGGTGTGTTTTCCTTTGGGGAGGATGGAAGGATTTTTGGCCAGTGTAGCTTTGGGAAGCAGCATAGTTACTTCACAAGTTCACTTATAGTGAATTAGCCACCCATGGCTGGGTTGCTGGAGTAGCAGTGGTCTTTTTACTGACATGGGTGAGCCTGAAGGAGGTGAGTCTGTAAGCAGAAAGTGAGAAGCTACTACAGGTTGGTGGCAGCACCCCAAGAGAGACTCCAGACCTCTGAGGGTGGTGACTTTGGGTGCTGAAGGTGGCAAATCTGGGTGCTGTCAGCTCGGGGTAGCGGCACGTGCCTGGAGCAGGTTCTGGCTTAGCCCTTCAATCCTGCAGAAACTGGTGTTTTACTATTAAATTGTTGGTCGTGGGAGGAAATGCCTGGAATTTGTCATGGTGAGTGCTGCAAGGAAATCTTGCAGGGGAATCAGACCTGCCCATCTTCAGGCAAGAATGGTTTAGGAGCTGGGATGGCACTTGTCATGTTGCATTGGTGGTTCGTCAGAGCATTTGAGACCTTTTCACAGACAGAGTTATAGTAAAGTAGAACATAAACCCCATGTGAAGGAAGGTTTTGCTTGCTCTGAATTAGTAAGACAAATGAATTATGAATACAAGTGGGTACAGTACAGCTGGAGAGCTTTGTGACATTCCGTAGCACCTTTTCTTCTCCACGGATGTTTTCTCTTTCCATCTTGATGGTGGTTTTGTTGGTTGCTTAAATGTCTGGGGAGGTGGTTGAGGAATTATCTAAAATTGTATTGGCTCATCTGACATTGCTTTGGAGTCCTATTAAGTTTATTCAGACCACTCTAAATACTGGTGTGTACCAAACTTAGGGAAATTTATCTGCATGCTTGCTTAGAATGTGTGTCTATCTACTGATACTTAGTGTTGCAAATTAAAATGGAAGGAGTAATTTCTGCTGAGAAAAATACATTTTAAGAAAAATCGTGTCTCTTGGTGTTTTCTTGATGTCAAAAATTCATTCAGATAATGTACTTCTGAAAAAAAAAAAAAGGCAGATTTTCCTGTTAGTCGAGATAATGTGGTTAGGAAAAATGAAAATTGAATTACCTAACTGGAAGAAACTATCTGAAAGGTGTAGTTTTTTTAATTTGGAAGAAACTTGTCTATTGGATGACCCACAACAAGGCTAATGCAAACATCCAAAGAAAGGATTTTGGCCCTCAAGTCTGCAAAACTGGCTGTCAAATGTAAGCAGAACAGAAGTGGACACAGTGTCTTTCTGGCACTAACACAATAGTCAGATGGTAGTTGTTTTGTTCATTAGCATGGCTGGGATGCACCCTCCCCAGAAATGCTCAGTTAAATCCTTTTTTTTCTTGAAATTCAGCTGCTGGGAAGCTTTATAGAAATATTAGCCTCGTGCTTGGATTTAAAAAATACACTGGGACTAGATGCAAAATAATCTGTCGGCCTGGGATAGAAATTTTGCCATGGGGAAAAATTTATCCAGCTGGTGCAAAAGTTAACAAATCACTACAAAAATGGTAAATTCTCCTTTTCAGAAAATGAAGGGATGCCCTTGCTGTTATCCAGGAATGTTGTTTGGCTTTGTCTGAAAATCTCTGTCCATATGATTTTGCAAGGTCCTCCCTCTTGGGAGGTTTCTGTAGCTGAGGAAGGGATGTGCTTTGGGGGACTCCCTGCAGGTGATGAGATGTAGCAATTACACAGTTTCTGCCCCAAGTCTGAGCTCGTTCTGTGCTGAAATAATCATAAGAGTTTGAAGGGATTATTTAATCACCTCGTCACGGAGGGTTTGTTCCCCCTGGTTCCATTGTTTAGGATAAATGAAGCGATAGTCATCTTCTTACTAGAGTACTTAATCACCATGAATTTCCTTGGCTTGACTTCTGAAGTCAAAGGAACCTCTGTGTGGTTTTGGAAAGCTTTAAAATAGTCCCCTAAAAGAAGAAATGTTTGAGCAGAACGTGCTGAGGGCACCACCCAGGGTCGTGCATGTGGCGCACTCAGGGCAGATTTCGGTGTGGTTTCAGCTGGAGCTCAGTAACTCCAGATGTTCACCTGGAGTCAGCTGCCTGCTACCACCAGCTGTTGGGAAACAGCTGTGATTCTTGCCCTGTGCATGGAATTTGGCTGGTGGGAAGCGAGGGATGTGTGAGGGTGGGTTTGCCGTGTGAAGTGCCCAGGGTGGTGCCTTTGCTGCGAGTGCCTGTGGCTTCATTTGGGGAAGAATCCAGTTGTGTTTGAGTTGAGTTGTATTTTTGAGGCACCTCCTTAATCACACAGCGTTTCTCCAGCTCACTAAATCCTTCCAAAGGACCTGTGTGTCTTCTCCTCCCGGGAACAGGGGGACTATGCTGCTGTCCCTGCAGGTCCAAGGGGCAAAGTCTTGGCATTTCTCCCACGACCAACAATTTAATAGTAAAACACCAGTTTCTGCAGGATTGAAGCCAGAACCTGCTCCAGGCACGTGCCACTACCCCGAGCTGACAGCACCCAGATTTGCCACCTTCAGCACCCAAATTCACCACCCTCAGAGGTCTGGAGTCTCTCTTGGGGTGCTGCCACCAACCTGTAGTAGCTTCCAGCTTACAGACTTATTTCTTTCAGGCCCACCCGTGTCAATAAAAGACCACCACTTCCTGCTTTCACTTACTGTTTGAGACAAGCGTTGCCCTTCACTAAAGGGATTCCCTTTGCAATCCAGAGCTGTTCCAGACCCAGCCAGAGGCTGGGAAGCAGTGTGGCCTCCCCGTGGCCTTGTTCTCAGAGCTCGAGGATGTCCTGCCAGCACATGACTCACCGGGCTTGCCTCTGGCAGGAGCTGTTTGTTTGAAGTGCTGCTCTGCTCCGCTGTTCCTGTGGGCAGAGGAATGACTTTTAGTCTCCTTGCCTTGCCTACTGATGGGATCTGTGTGTTTTTGGAAGGAGGGGGTTTATTTACACAGCTCATGCTGGATGGGTTGAGCACCAGCTCCTGTTCCCTACATGTCAAGTGTTCCTGAACAGGAACCTTCCTAAGGAATATAACTTTTTAAAATATATTTTTTCCCCTCTTGCTTTCGCAAAACTGCAAGAAATTGGGAAGAAATAGGGAGGAAATGGTGCTTTCCTCAGCTTTCACAGCAGCAGTTTCTCCTGTCCCGTGACCGAAGGCTGTTAATGAGAACGTCTGACAGCCCGTTTGCTTTTTGGCTCTGTCCTGTGCAGCCATATTAAAGATATCCTGTTTATAGCAGCCGTGTCTTTCCACGGCATTGTTCAGCTGGAGGCAGCCCACATGGCTTTTCATTTGGGAGCATTGTCCTCGCTGCCTGTCCTTCCCTTCCCGCCAGCGTGAGGGGATTTCAGGCGGATTCCTGGCTCTGAGCGGCTCCGTCTCTGCTTGCTGCGGGGTGTTGAAGAGGGTGCTGGTTTACCTGCTCTTTCTGTACTGAAACAACAGGATTTTTAAGGTGAATTTAAAAACAAAGCAGAAAAATAAAAATAAATTTAAACACCCCCCCCCAACCCTCTCCCAAAACCCCTCAGACAAACAAACGAACAAACAAAAACCCAAAGCCCCAGGCTTTAGAAAACATCTTATAAATTTAATTGGATCTGGGTTGGATTGTGCGCATGGTCTTTCTAATTATCTGTTCCTGCTCCTGGTACTTGGTATGCTTTTTTTTCCCCTTTTAATTTAAATTAGGTAATTGCTCTGAGGCTATAAACTCTTATCTTCATCACAGGAAGTCCTATTTTGCATTAATTAACTTGAATTGAAGCAGTGAGGCAACTGAGTTTTAGGTGTCTTTAGGGTGAACTTGAGGTTGAACTGAAGTTGTCTTCACTGCTTTTCTTAATCCATATTAAAATATCCTTTTTTGCATTGTAAACATATAAAAAGTTCAGATTTCATGTGCTCAACAGAGCACTCTGGTGCTCTTAATCACTTATTTTCTTGCTGCCGTAATATAAATTATTTGAATGGAACAAGGCGTTGATTCTTAGAATCACAGGATGGTTTGGGTTGGAAGGGACCTAAAGACCACCCAGTCCCACCCCCTGCCATGGGAAGGGACACCTTCCACTAGCCCAGGTTACTCCAAGCCCCATCCAACCTGGCCTTGGACACTTCCAGGGATCCAGGGATAGCCACAGCTTCTCTGGTCAACCTGTGCCAGGACCTCCCCACCCTCCCAGGGAAGAGTTTCTTCCTGACATCGAGATCTTTGAATGCCTTTTTCAGGAAGCAAGAAGAAAGAAAAGGAGCGGCCAGAAATCTCCCCGCCGTCGGATTTTGAACATACCATCCATGTTGGCTTTGATGCTGTCACTGGAGAGTTCACGGTGAGTATTCCTGCCTTGGGGTGCCTTGGAAGACACTCGTGGTCAGTGCTGTAGTGAAGCCAAGGCAGTGCTTTAGGTTAAAGTGCAAGTTAGTCTCTGTTTATATCAAAGAACTAATTTTCCTGTGTGTTTGTACAGCACACAGAGTTATGATGCCGTGACCTGTTAGTGCTTCTCCAGTGTCAGTGTCACATCTGGTGCTTTGTGTCACAGCAGGAAAACCCTCCCTGACAAACCTCCTTCACTTTACTGTTGTTAGTGGGTAACAGTGGTTCTGCTGAGTGGTGTTGTGTCCCCATTCCTCACATCTGGCTCAACATAGCTGGAAGAGGTGCTGTTGTGTTGGCACCATGGTTTGTGTTGCCACCTGTGGCTCCCCATTAAGCACATGTTGCTCATGTGCTTAAGGCTGTGCTTGTTATGCTTTTTATAGAGGGAAGAAGTTTGTTTTGCTCTTTAAAAATCTTTAAAACACCAGAACACTTAAAATCCCCTGTTTTTTCAGGGAATGCCAGAACAATGGGCTCGGTTGCTTCAGACCTCAAATATCACCAAGCTAGAACAGAAGAAGAACCCCCAGGCAGTACTGGATGTGCTGAAATTCTATGACTCCAAAGACACAGCAAAACAGAAATATCTGAGTTTTTCTGCTCCAGGTGAGAGCCAAGTGTGTGCAAGACATATTGGAGTTGGGTATTTGGAGCACAGTCTTCCTCTCAGAATAATAAATCAGGTTCAAATGCTGATTCAGTGAGGAACAAATACTTGAAGGTGGATTTAAAACTTACTGGAAACTGGCGTTGTCCAGTTAATTTCCTGTTTTAAGTGGAGAGTTGGAAGAAAGAACTGGATAATTCACAATAGCAGCCAAAATGAACTTGAAGGGGCTGTGTTTCTGAAGCTGGAGCTCTGAGAGTGGTATGAACTGGTTTCATGCTGGAACCCTTTCTCCTCACAGTTGTCTGTGAGCTTGATGTCACCAGCTGGTGACATCAAAGATGCAAAATAATTTGTGACTCCCAGACTGGGAGCCAGTTGGGAGGGCTGAGAGAAGGATTGTCCTACAAACAGGTACAGTTGTGCCTACTTTTCTTCCAAATTATTTGTAGCTTAGTAATAAGGCTGTGTAATATTTTCATCCTTTACTCTATAGAGTTCACTTTGTGTTATTTTTTTCTGATGATTTTATGTATTCTGCTGTTTGTCCTATTTAGAAAAAGATGGTTTCCCTTCAGGAATGCCAACGGTGAGTGTGTTTATTATTATTTGGATATCCTTAGGTGCATACTAATTCAGGTCTTCTGTATTTGTTATATCCTGAATTTCGAAATATTAAACTGTATAACGTTTAAAAGTATAAAAATGAGGATATTCTTTGTGGAATAAAAACATAAATTGTGGGGGTCAGCAGGGCATATTTTCACAGGAGTGACAGTATTTGAGTCTCATAAAATGTAATAACTTAGGGATAGGTTGATTGGTTTGTTATTTTCTTTTGACATCAGTAAGAATTCTTTTATCTTAATGTGAAAAAAAAAATCAAGTCTTTAATACTGTGGGGGAGACACATTTGTTTATTTATTTATTTTTTTTTTTAATGTTGGTAAAAATGTAGACCAATGCCAAAGGTTCAGAACCATCAACAACTGTGGCAGATGAGGATGAGGATGATGAAGAAGCTCCTCCTCCTGTGATTGCTCCACGGCCAGATCACACAAAATCGGTGAGCAGCTGGAAAACTTGACAGTGCAGAATTCTGGGATTCTTTGTATTGCAGGACTTCTACACCTGTTCTCTAGAAAAGTGTTTTATTTGTGAAATGAGCTGTTGTAAGATTTTTGGGAAGAGTTCTGGTTTTTTGAATTTGCCAAGAAAATACCTAATTTCTGGATGTCAGTTGGACCAGAAATCCTGAAGTAAGTGGAATCACAGAATCATTTAGGTTGAAAAAGACCTCTGAGATCACTGAGATTTTGTGATCTCTTGGTTAGCTTGTGTTGAAGGTATCCAGTTAAGCTTATCTTTCGACCCAGTGTGTGAGGAGGAGGCATTTTAGTCCTAAAAATCTATAGGTAGTTTCTGTAACTTGGCCCAGCCCAGTGGCACAAGTGTAGTGTGTTTGATTTTCTTCATTTGATTTGGTGGCAGTGTGACAGCCTCACCAAATACACTATCTAGACCCAAACCAATTCAGATTCAATAAGACTTGAAAGCTTATTTCACTCACAAAGCCCTCAGCAGCCTATGAACAGTTAAATGCTTCAGAAGTTGTTCATTAAGTTTTAGTGTAGTCCTGAACTACCCACCCTGGTAGCAACATCCCAGGGATCCCACTTACTCCAGCTCCTTCCTTTGGCTGTGGTAGCTGTACATTTTGCCTCTTTGTTGCCCACTTTTTCTCCCTCCAGGAGTGCAAATGTGAATTGTGTTTATTTGTCAACTGGTACTACTTTATAATTGCCCACTCTTGGGATGTAGACATATAAAAAATGTGAGAGCTGGATATTTCTAGAGTAGCTGTGCATGTCTGAACAGCTCAGGAGGAAATTAAATAAATCTCCAAGAAATTAAATCTTTTTAAAAAAACTCAAATTGGGGGCAACTGGGAAATTTTTTTAGAATCTCATGCTTCTTTTCATGGCAAGCATGAGTCTTTTTCCTTTAGATCTTAGTAGGAATTGATCTCACTATTAATCAGTGATTACTTCTCTGTTAACTAGCATGGGTTATAAAGAATAAGCAGGTAAAAAACTCATGAAACATCTGTCCTTGGAAGTTGGGGTTAACTTCCTGGCATCCACTCTGTTCAGGAGGTGCCTTTCAGAGGGCAGTACTGTTGCCAGGGGACTTCAGTGTTTCTCAGGTCTAATTTCTGCCTCCTGCCTGTTACAAAATGGTGCCTAGGGATCTTTTCAGTGCTGTGATTGTTTTCAGCTGAAGGTCAGCGATTGCAAAGCCCATGCTCAGGTCCATGGTCTCCTTCACAGATTTATACCCGCTCTGTGATTGACCCCATCCCTGCCCCAGCTGGTGACTCCTGTGCTGACAGCGCCACGAAATCGGGGGATAAGCAGAAAAAGAAGACCAAGATGTCAGATGAAGACATCATGGAAAAACTACGTAGGTGATTTTATTTCAGATAAACAAAGGCTTTAGGACTGGGAGAGGAATATTAAATTTTTACCCTCGTCCTTATTTTTGTGTAAGAGTTGTGTGGATACCATGCTCAGCTAGTTTTGTGTCAGGAGCTGAGAAAAACGTACTCAGAGGTTATGCTGATTTATAATCTTCAGAGCCCTGTTGGGTAGAAAAATATTATACAACAGCTTTTTTTGTTGGTTTTTTTGTTTTGTTTTTTTTTAATCAGAGTTCAGTTGTGATAATGTGATCTGCATGTATGTTACAGCCATAATAACACAAAGTAGTTTCTGCTGGGGCTTGTTCCATAACCCCCTTGAAGATAATTTTTCAGCGTATTAATGTTCCTGTGCAGCTTTGGCTGTTTGTGCATCAGCTTTGCTCTTTGAACTTGGACATATCTTGGCCAGGCCAGCCCTGCTGAAGGGGGGCAGTGGGATTGGATTGACTCTTCTGTTGTTTTTTCTTTTAGGCACTATTGTAAGCATAGGAGATCCCAAGAAAAAATACACCAGATATGAAAAAATCGGGCAGGGGTAAGTGTTCCCCCCAACTTTTATTCCCAGTGGGCCAGTGTTGGCAGCACTGTGCTGTTCTCTGTCTCATACTGTTGTGTACCCACCTCTTTCTGTGCAGGCAGAAATGTTGGCTGCATTCAGCAGTGATGAATCACAGAATCCCAGAATAGTTTGGGTTGAAAAGGAACTTAAAGCTGCCCTCATTACACCCTCCTGCCATGGGCAGGGGCACCTTCCACTAGCCCAGGTTGCTCCAAGCCCTGTCCAACCTGGCCTTGGACACTTCTAGGGATCCAGGGACAGCCACAGCTTCTCTGGGCAACAAACTGTAAAGTAAATAAACAGTGAAGGCTTTACACAGTGGTGGAAATTTTGAATTGAAAGCTGAAACAATTTTGTGTTTGTGATTTGGCTTTTCGCTTGTGTGTTTGTTACAAAGAGATGCAAGTTGCTGTAACATTTTCCTTTCTTTTCACAGGGCTTCAGGTACAGTTTTCACAGCTATTGATGTGGCAACAGGGCAGGAGGTAAGATTCCTGCGTTCGTTTTCTCTCAAAATATCCTTCTGGAGGTGGCCAGAATTTCCTTCAGTGCCTCCCATATCTGCTATCAGCTCTCAGAAGGATGTTTGTCATAGTCAATTGTAACAGTGTGTGCCTTGTTCTATAGTAATCAGATGGTGAAAGCTTGAAAATAGAGTTCTGTCTTTCCAGTGAAAAGCAGAGGGAGTGAGGTGTTGCAGAAATGAGTTTGGAAAACGGTTTATCCTTCAAGAACTGCAGGCCTTGGTGTCTTGTGTTTTCAGAAGTAAATGTTTGTTTAGGCTTTGCACACATGTTCTCTAGTCCCGACTCAGTAAAAGTGATGGTTGTTTCTGTCTCCGTGGAAACAGCTTGTCCCCTGTGATTCCCTGTTGTAGTTAAAACATCTCCACATCCTACTCTTTGCTTTTACCCCCTGGTTTCTCCAGACTCACTTAGTGAAATTGGTGACATCAGCAGTACTCTGCATGTTTGTCATCAAGTGGCCATCTCTGGTTTCTGTGACTCAAATTTTAGGATTTATTTGCTTCTACTTAACTTTAGATTTCCTTACTTTTCTTTTAATGTTTCTATTTAAATTCTTTCCTTAATTTTCCTTTAAATAAGTATTTAAATACCATTTAAATACCATTTCTTAGGTCACTGGTAAGTAATTGCCCTTTCAGCAGTAATCACATTTACCAGTCTTACAGTGGAGCACCACATCTTGATAAAACATGAGCCTGTCTATCATCTCTTAATTTGTGTCTCTTAACTTGCTCTCTACTTCATGTCCTCTTACTGGCTGCAGAGTGAGTTTAGAGCCCAGAGGGGTTGTGGAGTATCTGCTCCTTCAGGTCTCCATTCCAAACTCACTTACACGAGACCCTCAGCAACCTGCTCCACCTCCACTCTTAGTTATTGTATCATTCTGTGCCACAGAATGACAAGAATCTTTTCCTTTAATGCCCCTGGCAATATAATAATGATAATTTCTACAAGATTACATTGGTTCTTGTGTTTGGTTTTGGTCTCATGGGTAGGTTGTTTTGTAGACCTCCAAACTACCTCCACAAAGTGTAGCTGACAGAGCTGGGACAGTTCTTCTCCATTTTAAACTCTGGAATACTTGTCCTGGTTCGCTTATTTCCTGGGCAAGATAGGCCTTTCTCTCCCCTTTTCTCTCTGGGACAGTTCATTGATTTAATTGCTTTGAGAGGAATTCCTTCTGCCTCCCAGCATTCCTTATACCCAAACACCAATCTGGTCAGAATATAGAACAACAAATTGCCTCGCCTTGCATTAGAAGGCTCAGACTTTCTGAGTTGCTACAAGATTCTCTGCTTCAGGCCTGTTGATAGGAAATTGGGCGAGTTTTTATCTCCTGCATGCTCCCTTTTCTGTCTGTTCTGGCCTCAGTTACTGTTTGTGGATTCTTTCAACTGCAAGAGGATGCTGTTGGCCATGGCTGCAAGTTGTGTGCTCATCAGGCTGCATTCTTTAAAGTTGTGTGCTAATAAATAAATAACTTGCCAGCTGCAAGCTGTGATAAACAACTTTAATCCTGTTACAGAATTCCTTCTGACTTTTCACTATATTGAGTGAAAGCTTCTAATGGTTTCAGTGATTGCTGTTTTGTTTTATTTTGCCCTGTTCAGGTGGCTATTAAACAGATCAACCTGCAGAAACAGCCCAAGAAGGAGCTGATTATTAACGAGATCTTGGTAATGAAGGAGCTAAAGAACCCCAACATAGTCAACTTCTTGGACAGGTAAATGCATCCAGCTGGTGATTCCTTCACCCCTGAGGGTTTCAAGAAGTTATACCCTACACAGACCTGGAATTCCTGTACCTGAGGGTCTTGGAAGCAAATGAGTCTGTATTTAGGCTTGGTCACCCTGATGGCACACGGACATGCTTTTGGTTTTCTCTTTGTAGTTACCTCGTAGGAGATGAGTTGTTTGTGGTGATGGAGTATCTGGCTGGTGGCTCTCTAACAGATGTGGTCACAGAAACATGTATGGATGAGGCACAGATTGCTGCTGTCTGCAGGGAGGTGAGTGTTGGACTTGCTGGGTAGAGGGATGAAGGTGCACTCTATTCCCATAGCTTTTATAGAATGCTAAGGCTAGGACTAATTGCAACAATTGCTGTTGGAGCCATTGAGTTAAGAATGAATGATACCATGAGTAGAAATCAATATTAAAGTTACAGAAAATAACAAAATTAGGTTAACTGAGAAAATTGAGGCGGTTGCAAGTTATAATAACACAAAAGAGCTGTGGCAGGTTTTGATCTGAGTGTTTGGGAAACTTAGGGAAGGGAGCAAATAAAGTCTTTAGGTTTGGTACTTGTGTTGCCTCATCCTGCTGACAGTGTTAACAGAAAGATGTGAATAATGTGGACTGAAGTTCAGGGAGGAGCAATGGAGAAGTTTAGCAGCTGCAAGGAATGGCTTTTTAAACTTCAACTAACAAAGAACATTCAAAGGCACCAAAAGAAAAAGTCTTGAGTATTCATGTATGGGTAATGTAGAAAAAAAAAAAGAGAAGGGAAAAACCTGAAAGCTTCCAAGTGTTTTCCAGAAGGAAGAAGGGGAACTGTGTTTGCTCCCAGTGTGAAAGTGGATCTGCTGAGACAGGAGTACTCTAAGAAACATGTACTAAAACAAAGATGAACTGGATGCAGATTATCTATTTTCCCTCTTAGTCATTCTCACAGTGTGTGAAATCTGTAGTTCTGTGCCAGTTAAGCTTCCTTGAGGGATTTCTCAGGAAAACAATTCTCCAGAAGATTGTAGTTGGAATAATTGTAAGGCTGCTGGAAGATTTCAAATGAAAGAGTTAAAAGCAGCTGATATCACACCTTATCAGTGGTTTCTGCCCTGAGTCAGTGCCAGCATCCAGCTCAGGCTTGATTTATTACAGCAGAAGGAGAATTGTGTTATCTGCTGTGCAGGAGAGACCAGGGCTTTTAAAAAGCCCATCTGACTCCATCAGCATGACGTCTGCTTTTGTGCCTCACCCAGAGGGAGGGCAGGGAGAGCAAACTTGTGCAGGGACATGCATGGACAGGTAATGGTTTCCTGAGGAACCAGAGCTGGAAGCAGAGAACCCAAAGTAACTCTTTCTTGTAACAGTAATGAACTTTTCTGAGGAAGAAGTCAAATATTGAAGTATTGTACCTCATCAAAACTCTGCTGCCCACTTTATTTTGCAAATCAGTGTCAATTTGCTAAAGCAAACAAAGATACACAAAACTCACTGGGGACATCCGTGCCAAGCAGCAAATGGCAAATGTTCTGCTTGTATTGAAAGAAAGATCTGACTTTTTTCTTTTGCCTTTTATTCTCAAATAACAAAAGTAAATTTCATTATGGTTTTGGGCAGAAACTTAGTGGGAAAGGTTTTAATCTGAAAACAATGCAAAACCAGTATCAGTGAATTTCAGAATGAAGATGTTTTACAGATTTCACTGTAGAAATTGTGTGGATGTTGGGAATGAATCCTCACCAATTCCCCTTGGTGAGACCTCAACCTAAAAAGCTCTCACTTAATCCTTTATGGTTCCTCTGTAGAATCTGTGGGATGTACCAGAATTAGCATCTGGGATTTCTGAGAGCATCTTGAGTGGTGAGGAGTTTTACATATGCATTTGTTAAGATAGAGAAACTGTCTGTGGTTAAATGATTTTTGTCTTCCTGAAATCTGGAGAGTATTTTTTAGCCCAAGAGCTTCCTCTGCTGGTTATTTGCAATAATACCTGTTACATTTTTGCACTCAGAGCTGGCTGAGGGTGTAAACATTGCCTTGAATTTGTGCTCACATATACCAGGCGTGTTTCCATGTGCTGAATGATGGGTTTTTTCTCTCCTATCCAGTGCTTGCAAGCACTTGAGTTCCTCCATGCCAACCAGGTCATCCACAGAGACATTAAGAGTGACAATGTGCTCTTGGGAATGGATGGATCAGTTAAATTAAGTGAGTAGCTGACAATTGTTTTAATGCTCTGCTTCTTCTTTCCAGTGATCTCTGACTCAGTGTGTAAATCAGTAGAAGGAGAGTTGACAGGGAAACTTGAGGTGGATTTTTATTGACTGTGAGGAATAGAAATTCATTCTGTGTTACAAAATGTGTAACAGGCAGCAGGTACTGAAATTCTGAGGACCCTCAGACTCAGGCTGTGAACGTTTTAGCCCGGAAGGATGTTGAAGCAAACCTGTGGCCACATGAATACGTTGGTGAATATGAAGTAACTGGTGCTATAGAGTGAAGCAAAATGGGAATGATTGCAAGAGAAAAGTTGCAGCAAACTGCAGTAGCTTTGTTAGGATGTTATGGCTTGATTTTAGTGCTTTGCCCCATTCATTAGAAGGCCACCAATGAGAAAACTGTACTTTATTGATCATTTATATTGCAGTCTAGTGTTACCCTGTGCCTTTTCTTGGGCTGGAAGTGTAACAGCCTTTCATTAATATAATCACAGCAAAAGAAACTTCTTGCTTTTCAGGCAACTGTTGTGCATGCATGGACTTGTGTACGTGGTATGTGTAAATAAAAATGATGTGAAACCACTTGTAGCTGTCAGGACTGTTCAGAAAGTGGTGCATTATTTGAATTTTTGGTATGCAGGAATGTGTAAAACATATAGCAACCGAAGAGTTAAGGTAAAAAAAGGTGTAAAGTAAAAAGTGTTTTTACAGTTGGGCAGGAATTTGAAGTGCCATGAAAATGTCATAACAGTATTCCTTATTCTAGATGGTTTTCAGTTTCATTTTGTTTATGAGATGGAGTGTGAAGGAAGATTATGAGCAACATGATTTGCTTCCCAGCATCTTTGGATGCACTGCTCGCTTGCATAGAGGGGGTTATTTGTTTTAAGGGTGTGATGTGTTTGTGCACAAGCTGTGGATTCAGAGGCTGAAGAGAAGTGAACACTTACAGCAGAGGATGTGGCTGAGAAGAAGTAGCTGGAGAAGGATCAAAATTGCACAAAAGAGGTGTCAAAGCAAAGCAGAGTGGCCAAAGGACAGGGTTGGCAGCCTGAATCAAGAAGCATCACCCCAGGAGACTGGGGGAGGATGAGGAGGAAGGAGACAGAAGAGAAGACAGGAGTCAGCTGTAAAAATGCCCTGTGTGAAGGGGAGGTGTTGTAGTCAGTGCTGAGACAAGCTCTTCTGAGGCTGTGTGACTGTAGAGCTCCTAGCAGTTGTTAAGGGTTGGAGGGTGGAAGAAGTTGCACATTCTTTTTAAGCTCTTCCCCTTCTCTGAGGGAGTCTGGTGACAGGACAACTGTCACCACTGCACAGCTGCACACACCTACACACAGGACTGCTGGGGGAAACTGGGTTCCTGCCTGTCTTTTCTCTCTGTGCTGGTGGTGTGGTGCTGAAGGCCTCACTGGGAGGTCAGGAGGCACAAACTGCTGCTGCTTCTCTGGGGTGGTCACTGAAATGGGCTGTGCTGTGAGTCGAGTGTGACACCTTGATAAGGCCAAATACTGCAGGAGAAACTTGGTGACTCCTGTAGGTTTGATTTTATTTTTTGTTTGTTTGGTTGGTTTTGTTTGTTTTGTTTTTGGTTTTTTGTTTTGTGTGGGGTTGTTTGGTTTGGTTTTAAGGCAGCATTTTGGCTATCAGGGTGGGGATAGTTCTTTGTTAAATTGTCTTCTTGGTACAACTTGGCACTTCCATGACTGTGGCTCTTTTGTTAGCACTGCTTGGCATAACACTTTCAAAATTTAAATTTCTCTCTTTCTCTCCCTCCCTCTCCTTCTCTCTCTCTCTCTAACTTAGTGTCAATGATAAGGTAATATCTGTCTCCTGCCTTAACTGTGTTCTTATTGATGCTTTACATGCCTGGGAAGTGGGAGTGCTGCAGCTGGATAGAGTAACATGATGGAACGTGCATTGCTGCTGCACCTGAAGGCTGTAGGAATAGGTGACTTTTCTCGTTTTCTTGAGTGTGGTTGTTCTCTTTGGTAGTTACCTTGTGGAAAGGTTTGTTTGTCCAGGTTCCTCCTGCTGAGTGGGGTAGCACTGCACTTACCTGAAGCCTTGTTTCCGTGTCCCTGTCAGCTGTAGTACCTGTCTAGATGGCCAGATTGCTGTGAAATGTTCAACTCAGTAGCTGCACAAGTACCATCTGTTTAGAAGGGCAGAAGCCATGGATTGTGGATTCATTTCTTCTGGTTCAGGCTGTATAACACACCAAGTGCAGAACACTTACCTCCTGTGTTCTGCTTGATTGCTTATTTTGGCTGCTACCAGTCTAGAATTATTGAAGGAAGGACTGGGCAAAATACCATTCTTCTGCAGGGTAATTCTTCTTTCTAGGGGACAAAAAGTCTTGTCTTCAGTCCACAGAATTCTGCCCTGCTTAAACACCTTCAGGTTTTGTATCTTATCTTGCACGTTGGCTTATTTAATATGGAGAATGTGGAGGGGGGGGCAGAAGAAACCCCCCTAAACCCCTCTCAATAAAATATATGTGTAGCAATAGAAAAGTCTTCTAGGAAACCCACTCCTGGGGGTGCACCAGTTTAACCTCTTCATCCTTCTGTTGTCCTGCAGCCGACTTTGGTTTCTGTGCTCAGATCACCCCTGAGCAGAGCAAGCGCAGCACCATGGTGGGAACTCCGTACTGGATGGCTCCAGAGGTGGTCACACGGAAAGCATATGGCCCCAAAGTGGATATCTGGTCTCTGGGCATCATGGCTATTGAGATGGTGGAAGGAGAACCCCCATACCTCAATGAAAACCCCCTGAGGGTAAGAAGCCTCGGGGCTGGAACTGCTTGTGGGTGTTCACCGTATCAGACATTTTCAGTAATTGGTCATTAATTGTGTCTACAATAAAAGAAATGAAAAAGCCAAGAAGCTTCAGCAGTGCAAGAGAAGTTCTCCAAGGGAAGGCACTTGTCTTGAATTTGCAGTCATCCCTACCCTGACTCCCCATCCCTGGAAGTGTCCAAGGCCAGGCTGGATGGGGCTTGAACCAACCTGGTCTAGTGGAAGGTGTGCCCATGGCACGAGGGTGGAACCAGATAGTCTTTAATGTCCTTCCAACCCGAACCAGTTCCCTAAACTATCACAGAATCTTGAGGTCAAAATACAGTGTTTCAGTTACAGGCAGGTAAATCCTCTAAATGGAAGATTTTGACCTCAAGATTCTGTGATAGTTTAGGGAAAGTAAATCCATCAGGTTATGAAAAGTGTTGCTCTGTCACAATCTGATATTTTCTTTGCTAAAAAAGTATCTGTTGCCAAAAGATTTTGAATATTATTTTGCTACTAGCAAGAATAAGTCATGACTGCCTATAACTGTGGCATTTTTACAGCTTAAATCTTATAAGTTTGAGAAGTAGGCAGCCAAGCCCTTTCTCAGCTAAGGGCTTGCCACTAAACAGGACATTTTGGCATCTTTTAAAGATTTGTTTTTGTTATACACTCTTTTTCATTTTACAGGCTTTATATTTGATAGCAACTAATGGCACACCAGAACTCCAGAACCCCGAGAAACTGTCCCCAATATTCCGGGATTTCTTGAACCGATGTTTGGAGATGGATGTAGAGAAAAGAGGATCAGCCAAAGAATTGCTACAGGTGAGACTCAGCTTCTCCTCACAGTGTGAAGTGCAGAAGCCATGAGTAATGTCAGCCTGTGATAAACCACATGTCACACTGGCACCCTTTTTGTGTGTGTGTGTTTTCTTCTGAGAACTGTAGTGAGAGCAGTTGGTAGGAACAACAGTCATCAGAGATTTGTAATGCACTCTAAAGTCGTTCCATCACAGTCTGTGCCTTCACTCTGCCACTGCCAAAGCATCCAGCAATTTATGAACTCCCTTCAGGAGCTGGCCCCTGATAGCATTTGCATTGCTTTTCATGTCTTCACTTGCAAATATCCTCCTCAGAGCTCTTTAAAAGAACTGTTTATCTGCTAGTCTGAAGTCAGTGTTCAAGCCCTGAAAAGAAAAGCTGCTGTTTTCCCCAGGGTTCTGCCTTACCAGCTGAGCAGCTGGAGCTCAGTGCACCTGCCATTGTGCCACCATTTCTCCTTTTAGTTTGGATTTAAATGCCTCCTGGAGAAAAGCTGGCTTGTAAAATGAGATCTTCTGGCAGGCTTAAATACCTTCAGGTTTTTTCCTGTGTGAAGGAGTGATAGAATCACTGATGGCCATTCCTGGGGAGAACAAGGAGTAGCTCTGAGCCTGGAAGCCAGATGATGCGGAGGCTTTCCCAGTAAAGCCAGCTGCTGCTCCTTGTCTTTCTCTGATTATTCCATGTTCACATCTTTGCTGTTTTGCTCATTGTGAGTGCAGCTTCAATACTCACCTTTTCCAAAAGTGGTGAGCTATTCCAGGAGAAACCCCATTGGGTGAGGCAGTATGATCCCAGCCAGCTTGGGATCACCTTTTCCCTATAAACATCAGGAGAAACGCGTGGAAAAGTTAGCAGTTAAAGTGAAGAATCATTCCTGCCCAGCTCCACACAAACATGAATCCTGCTGAAAAGTAACCCTTTGCTGACCTTTTAAACCGTGTCTTTCACTGATTTCCAGTGTTTCTCTCTTCCTGGCAGCATCCCTTCTTGAAACTGGCCAAACCTCTGTCCAGCTTGACGCCACTGATCTTGGCAGCCAAAGAAGCAATGAAGAGTAACCGCTAACATCCTGCCACAGCCTTCCTCCTTTTTTTGTTTGTTTGTATTTTACAAATCTTTATAATATATGAAATTGTTACACTTCAGTGGGGAGGGAAGGGATTTTGGTGGGGGGGGAGGAGGGTGGGAAACGTCTACAGAAGGGAAGAAACTCTCATCCAGAAGACACCCAAAATACATTGTGGCGACTCTAGCGATCCCGGTCTGGGGTCCAGAAGGAATTGAGGACTGAATTACTGGCCTTTAGTTGTGTTTTATTCTGATTTTTTTTTTTTTTTTTCCCAGACAGCCCAGAAATGCCACTTACTGTGCCCGGGGCGTTAAGGGTTTTTAACGACTTCGCTGTAACAGCTCCTGTTCGTTGTACCCTCTGGGTACTTTCAATACTTGAATGACAGGTTCAAGCTTTCAGAGAGCAGTACTAATTTTACCTGCTGATCTCTTTGACTCTCCTCTTCCTCCCCTCTACCTGTTGGCTTCTAAATCCCTCTGGTAAAGCTCCCCCATGACGAGATTCACGGCAGGTGTGGCGAATGTGAAGGTACATCTTGCCCCTCATTTCTTTTACGGACAAGCTGTTGCTGCACTGTAGAATTGACAACTTGGCTACTTAGGGAGTCGTAATGCATGGAGATGTTTTTCACTTTCTAAGATGAATAAGGAGAGGGGGGGAGGAGAAGTGTTCAGCTTTTTCTTATGCCTGTGCTCTGTGGACTTTTTTTTAATCAAAAACGTGGGCTCTTTGTAGAACCGTAATGATCGGTCAAGTCTTTTGATGTGGGTTATGGATATGTAGGTTGGGGTCAGATACTTTATTTATGATCAAATGATCAGTTCTAGTCAGGGCAAGAAAAAATTCCAGCTGTCTTCCTTGTGTGCTCTTTTTTCCCTGTTAGACTTGCTGGCCAGAAGCTTAAGGGTTAACGTGCTTGGTGCGGTGGGTGGTTTAAAAACATGTATCTATGCTCTGACTTGGGCTTTGGAAGTTATGCTGGTGCCTTTGACTTTTTTATTTTACATTTCCCTTTTTTGTATCAAATACATTTTTGTATATGTTGTAATTTTTTCCCCCAAGCGAATAATGCATCAACCTATGGAGTTGTCAGAGTTTAAGTATTAGAGCTATTTTTTCCAGTTTTGTATGTGCTCCATTTGTACTAACGAAACCAGAAGAACAAGTAACCAGATCTGAGGACACTGAAGATACAGGATTTTTAAACTATGATCCAAACAGAAGATGATGAACACCTGGAGATGCCAAAGCACTGTTCTGAGGTGGAAGCTGAGGGGAGGACAGTGCTGAGGGGACGTGTCACATTGATCCTTCTCACTAAAGACGTTGTGCCAGCCAGGACGGCTGCAGTGAACCCTTCAATGCAAGAAAAAGTGCCTCCTTTTGAAGGACAGTGAGAACCAGAGTGGTTGAGTTCTTGGGGTGCTGCCAGGGGCGAGTGTAGCAGAGCCTGTGCCCCTGGCTCCTTTGAGTGCTACAGTCTATGCATTTCAACCTCCCCGAGTGTTTGAGGAAGAGCCAACTGTAGTAACAATGTGCCAAATAAGTCTGTGAAAGAACAACCATGCCTTTAGTGGGATTTTATTGCATTCCCAGTGGGGCAGGGCCTGGGACAGACAGAGTTATGGTTGGGTATGGACAGAGGACCCTGAATAAAAACCTTTTTGCACACTTTTCCAAACATTGCTGGCAGGGGATAGAAGTCATATTCAGAGAATATCAGTACCTGTATAGAGATAATGACATTTTGAGGACTGGTAGCCAAGGTATGACAAAACCAACTTCCAGCTGAGAGCAGCCAGCCAGGACAGTGGAGGCTGTTTGGGGTGATGATGGAGGGGAGCAGGGCTGGGGTCTCACAGCATCTGCTGGGACTCAGGAGCTCCTGGGGATTGTGTGGTGCCAGCAGAGTGCCTTGCTGGGCAGGTTCAGCTTGTGTCCTGCTCCTGTGTGGTAGTTAAAATCCATGTTGGGTGAAATATCTTAACTGTTCCATCACAGGGATAGATCCCTCTAGCTGTGAGTGTAAGAATATGGCTTTAAATTTTAAATTCAAGGAGGTGTCTCATTCCAGCCAAGGAAATCCAGATGCATTTCCCAGGGGAAAAAAAATTATTGGGAGCCAGGGACACTGTAATCACCCCAGGTTGAGTGTATCTGGCTCCCTGGTCAAATGGAGCAGCAAGGAGGCTTGGCTGAGGAAAAAACATGTTGTACCAATGGTTCCCTCTTTGTCCGTTGCTGGCAATGGACTTGGTAAAACTCCTTGTGCCAGACTTAAACTGGGAGCTTTTCTTTCTTTCCTCTTTTTTTTTTTTTTTTAAATGACACAATCTATATAAATTTAGCTTTTCTTTTTTTAATAGAAAGAGAACAAGAAATCGTAAGTAATTTTAACTTATTAGTTCACTTTTATCGATGAAAGAGAATGGTTTGAAATATATGTTACAAAAATTCGTTCAATTTAGTCCATTTTGGAGATGATTTCTGAAGTTTCAGCCACCTTAGCACACAAAACTTGGCCCAATCCCAAAGTTCCCAAATAGTGTGTGTGACCTGGGAAGGTGTTTAGCTCTGAGGCTGAGAAGTGTCAGCATCTCCCTCTCCCCATGCAGCACGGTTGGTATGTGGTGAGGTTTCTCTTGGGGATCAGAGGTGGAGCTGGCAGGAGAGGAGAGCCAGGAGAAGGTTTTTGTGCTGTGCTTTGGTGTCTTGGTGGGTCGGGCATCGCTTTTCCAGCGGTGTCACCTGGATGTGTGTGCCAGGTTAAAACTGCAAGCCGTGGTTTTTTCCCTGGTGGGAGTAGGTTGGAGTCCTTAAGGCTTGGTGCAGGGCTGGGCAGCTCTGCTTTGTCTGTCACTGGGGCAGGTGGAGACCAGCCAGAGCTTGAGGAGGTGATGGGAAGGGACAGATTGCATCCCAACGTGGGCATTCCCATGCCTCTCTCCTGGGTGCCCACATGAGATCCTGAGTCAGGATCAAATGTGCACATGATCCGTCTGAAGTGTCCCGTGTGGTCAGTGGGGCAGCTTTTGGCTGAGATGCAGTGTGCAGGGAATGTGAGACTCCTGGGACTTTCTTGTGATCATAGAATAAACCAGATTTCTCTTTAAAAACAACCATGGGAATGTGCACTTTGCCCTAATGAGACTAATTGGAGCTTCCCCCCGGCTCTCCGTGCAGGGAGGTGCGAGGGTTTGGCTAAAGCAGATGGGTCCCATTGTCAGAGGGGCTGGGGAGGGACAAGGAAGCAGTTAAGGGTCTCTCCAGCTGGAATTGAGTCCATAAATCTCTCTGGTCTGTTTTTCCCTCTGTTCCTTACGCTGTCGATGGAAATGGAAGTAGGTGCAAGCTTTCTTTTTATTTTTTTAACTGTCTTCAGATGTTAATGTTGCCTTTTTGTGTAATTTAATCCCATTATGTTATTTAATTGTTACTGCAATATTAACTACTGTATTTGTTGACTTTGTTTAATAACTGTTCTTTCAGGGCTAGAAATAAACTTTTAAAAAACATTTGGGGGTTTTCCCCCCCCTTTCCCTGTCATGAATTTACACCTTCAAAGACAAGAGTAGCTGAAAGAGTTCATGTGTCAGTGTCTTACTGAGATTAACAGAATGTATTTGTAATTAGGCTTTAATGGTAGTGGATATAATTTCATGCTATACCAGCCTGTTTCTTTTAAAATGTTGTTACTCATCAGTGTCTGTACCTGCCTTGGGGTCACCACAAGCTCTCCTTCCTGCCATGCAGTGCTAGGGAACGGCTGTGCCCCCCACAGAAAGCTCTGGATTGCTTATGGGAGGAGAGCAGCTCTGGAACACCCTTTACACCCATTGTGGAAGGGAGAATCCCTCATTTCCTTGTGAAGGCAGCAAGGCAGAGGCCAGCCTGGTTTTCACAGCCACATTTCCCACCATCTGCTTGCCATGAGCAGGGTGGGACTGACGGGCCAGTGAACTGCGGTCGTGGCAGTTCCGTAGCTATTCCGAACGAGCTGCTTTGTTGGAGATCATCCATGTCCTGCACATAAACATTACAGCATGGGAGGCACAGGCACTGAGCTGTCCTGGTGCCTGCTGGGAAGATGTGGCTCCTGGATTTGCACTGTCTCCGCTGATCAGCGTTTGACCATCAGAAGGAGGACGTGGAGTGTCCACAGCTCTCTGAGGACTTGGGATGACATCCTTGGTGCCTCTTGGCCTCCATGGCTGCAGGGAGTCACTCTTGCTTTCCAGTGAACCTACAAAAATGGTGTGGGGTCTAGGCCTGCCAGTCCAGCTAAAGCCAAGGACATCTAATGATTTACTTCAGGGTTGAGTCCGGTTTGTTTGATTCCAGTTTCCTGTCTCAGTTGAGAATGTCAAGGACTCGCCATGTCCTGTGTTTCCCATGTGTTATTGGGAAATGGGCTCTTCCCCTTTCTTGCATGTTGTACAAGCTTTGCTCATACCACTGACAAAGGGAAATGAAGAAACCACTTGTCTCCAGCAGCTGTTTCACCCAGCCACAAGAATGTTGGTTTGCACAGTTGTTCTCCTCAGGTTCATCAGTTTTTGGAGCTTCTTTGTCTTTATATATAGTTGACCCTTTATGCATTTAAACTGATGTTTCTCTAACACTGCCTTAAAGTGATTTGGCATTTAATTTATGGGGGAAGAAGTGAACAGGAGGAGGGAGAAGGTGCTTGGTGGAACTCAGTATTATCTGTATTTTGGTGTTTGAGCTGCTTGAAGAGATGGGTTTGGGCTGATGGTGGTTTGCACAGCTCAAAGTTGCATGTCCCTGATAAATCTTTGTCAGTCTTGTGTGAACTTGGTCATCCCTTACAAGTACCTGCCTGAGACTAAACTCAAGAGCAGCTCCATGTTTGGGGATCAGTTTATTCAAGGTTGAGTATTTCAAACAATGTTCTTGAAGAGAGTCAGTTTGGGGTCAGCAGTTTCTCCCTTTCAGGGCTGCTGTTTGGTTGCAGTGAGTGTACTGCAGAGCTGAGCCACACACTGATTAAAAGCAGGATGGCTGAAAACTGCAGATCTTCCTTTCACTGGCATTTTCCCAGTGGTGCCTGAAGAACATGGTTGGGTGCAGTGCAGTTCCTGTGGCTCCTGTGCTGGAGCACAGCAGTGTCTGCAGTTGCTGCTCCCAGGGGTTCGTACAGCTGCATTTTTTCCTTTTTCTATAACTTGCATTTTGCTCTCAAGATTGTCTTTAATAAAAATAGCCATCCTCAGTCATGTGAGAAAGTGAAGTGAAAGTGTGCTGAGCTCAGCTGAACTCTTGGTGCTCCTTTCCAGATGTGTGGAGGAGGCAGGTTTTACCAGGAGATTCTTTCACTATTTGGAATTCAGCCTAAGGAAAGACTTTTTTTTCCTCAAAGAAAAAAGGGGAGGGAGGGAAAATACCAACAACTGAGAACAATGAATTTCTGATTGTAACTTCTCTACCTACAAGGGAGCAGGGTGGGGCAATACAGCTCCTCATGCTGTTGTTCCCATATCCCAGTGGTGATGCTGCTTTTTCCGACTGGTGTCTGCAAGAGGAATATCCTGCAGCACATCATAACTTAGATTCACAGATTTGTTAAGGTTGGAAAGGCCTTTAAGATCATCAAGTCCAACAGCCAACCTTGATTTCAAATCCCAGTTACCCATTGACCCGAGTATTGAAACAGCCTGTAAGGACTCATGAGTTTTTTTTTTTTTTTCCCATAGTTATTTTTTAATGGGATTTTCCCACTGGGAAGTTACTGGTTGCTCATTCTCTTTAGGACATAACAGGCCACCAGACTTCTGCTTTGGAGATGTGTTGAGTCAGTGGAGAGAAGGATGGGCCTGGAAGAGCAGACAGTCTGTTCCAAGGCCTGGATATGTCTCCGTTCATGGATGTCTCAATGCATGCACTCCAGGTTCTGGTGTTTCCTGAAGGGCTGGTGAATAATGAACCCAGCTTGGAGTAACTGTGGATCAATGGCAGAGATATTGATGTGACTCAGGGAATCTCCACAGGATGCTCTGGAAGGGGAACATCTGCCCACACTGGGTAAGGGGTGACCTTCCTCAGCACAGATGTCTCCCTGGAATTCCTCGAGGTTTCTAGAGCCAGAGATGACACATCTTTGTTATTTTGTCCTCCAGTGAATGCTTATTCTAAGGACTCTGGCCTTTTTCACGAAGCACAATTAACTCCTGGCTCTCCTGGAGCCCTTTCCCCTGCCTCTCTCTGGGAGGAAACCTGCTGTGGTTCCTGCTGCCTCATCACAGCAGCTGAGAGCAGGTGGCTGCTCTTGGAGGGCTCTTATCCACCCCCTGCCCACCAAAACTCCCCTAAAATAACCTTATAACTGTGGGGTTTTTGTAGCTGTTACCTCTTGGTGGGGAGAGCCAGGGTGGCTCTGTTCAGTTCCTGTGTTTTTGGAGTGTTTATTCTTCTTAATTGTGGAAGTGCCAACTTGGTTCCCTGTCCCATGGCTAAAATCCCCTATTTAAATATCTGCATTTTAAGCTGTTTTTGTTCTTGACAGCCTTGGAAGCAAGTTGGGTTTAGAAAAGACACTGATGTTCCACTCACAGAGAAGTTTATTTTGGTGGGAGTATCTGAATTTTTACAGTCTTGTTTCTAGAAGAGCAGCCCTGCCAAGCTGTGTGGATTTTGCTGTCAGCACTAACACGAGCGAGGGAACAAGCCCCTGGCGTTATTTAATCCCACAGTTATCCTTGGAATCAGCAGCTTCCAGCTCCCCTCTCCAGCCTGGGTTAAGTGTCCCACAATTGCAGGATGTGCTGTGGGCATAATTGCAGATAGTGGATGGCAAATAGTTTTTAAACACCTCAGAACATTTATTTCCTAAGGCCCAACTCTTAAAACACTTGAAAAGAATGGAAAAATCAGCTCCTGGGGGAAGGAAAAGATGTTGGAATTTTTTTCCTGGTTTTACTGTGGGTATCACAATCTCTTTCCCATGAGCTGGCAGTTCTCTTCCAGGGTCTTGATTTGGGCTGGTGTTGCTGGGTCCTTGTAGAGTTTTGTTTCTAAAGAGAAAACTCTGCAGGTTTTTCTGCTTCTGAGAAACAGAAGTTACAGGAGATGGAAAGAAATGAGCTGGATTGTGATGTTACAACTTTTTGTTATTGGTTCTGCAGGGCTGAGCAGCTTTGGCCAGCACTTTTAGCGCTGTCAGAGGTCAATTTTCATGACAAAATTATTATTTTATGAGTCTCTTAAAGCGTGTTTTATCATCTGTTATTCGAGCAAAGCCATTTGTTCATTTGAGGTGGAAGATGCACACTTGGCCTGTCACCTGGAGGGAGAACTGGGTTAAAAATGGTCACACTGGGATAAGTTTGAGGCTGGCTGACCAAAAGCAGGGCAGTTTTTGGGGGGAGGAGGGGAGACCTTGGGTGATGGGCTTTTGGCAGCGTGGTCCTTCTCCTTGCTCAGACTTTCCATGGTTTCCAAAGCAAGTGCTGTGACCAGTGATCCGAGGGGACCTTCCCTAAACCACTGCGGGGTGGGCACTTGGGGATGGAAACGAGGGGGAGGGAAGATGAGGAGAGGGAGAATGTTGCAGGGGGAGATGCTGAGCTGAGACTTTCACCAACATCCCCAAAATGCCCTCCCAAAAGGTCCTGTTTCTTTTTCAGTGTGCCAAGGGCTATCTGAGGAGAGGCCAAGCGGCTCCAATGCCTTCGGAGCGTCCGCTCCTGGTTTTCATGGCTTGGTCTGTGTCACTGTAGCCAGTTTGAACTGTATGAGGTGCCTCATCCCTGGCTCAAGTGTGCTTCAAACCTGTGTTTCCTGGCAATTCCTTTTATAAATAACATGGGGGTTGGGAATAAAATGGCATTAATGGAAACTGTTGGCTCTTTGTGTGTGACAGGGAGCTGAGAGGAGTTTGGGACACCCACCATCACCCCTGCCCTGGGGATGAAGGAGATGCTGTTCTGCCTGTAGGGGTGGAAAACGTGGGGTCAGGGTGTTCTTATTGCTACTGCAGAGCAGGGAAGTGACCCAGGAGACACATGAATTGTTTGTCATAGAATCATAGAATGGTTTGGGTTGGGAGAGGCCTTAACTCTCATCTCATTCCACCCCCCTGCCAAGGGCAGGGGCACCTTCCCCTAGCCCAGGTTGCTCCAAGCCCCCTCCAGCGTGACCCTCCAGGAATGGGGCAGCCACAGCTTCTCTGGGCAACCTGTGCCAGGGCCTCACCACCCTCACAGGGAAGAATTGTTTGGGTTTAGCCCAAATGAGATCAGATGTTTCAATGGGTTTACAAAGTCAGGTAATGATGATGCCATGGGAGGGTTTTGGTGGAGCTGGGAAAGATCCCATCCCCAATATTCATGTTAGCAGCAGGAGCAGCTGAAATGTTGCTGTCACAAAAATGCCACCTGCAGACCAATGGCACGTGTAATTAGTACCACCTTCACCAAACCAGGGTATTAAGACAAGGGTGGGGGGCAGTGAGCAAGCCAGGTTTCCAAATTGGCTGAAGATGGACCTTGCTGTGGCT